CTGTATGACATACAAATTTAACTTATTTCTACCCCATCACTTCTAATCCCACATGACTTCAGAATTTTAACAGAAATTATTATTATAGAAATTTATAGCACAGAGGGATTCCACAGGCTTGAAGATGGGTATTACTGATGGCCTTTCTTGCATTCTAGGCCATCACTATCCAATAAAACTTTTTGCAATGATAGCCACTAGCCACATGTGGCTTTTGAAATGTGGCTAGTGCAACTGAAGAACTGAATTTTAAATTTTAATTAGTGTTAGTAGTCATGTGTGTCTAGTGGTTACTATTGAACAGTGTAATTCTAAAATGTTATTTTTCAGGAAAGATCCTCTAATAAGTAATTGAGAGAGACTTGGTAGCTGAGCTGGCCCTGGAGCAAGTCTGTGTTTTCTTTCCGTCCCTTTCATATGGGGGATTTGTGTGTCTCTAGAGAGATATAACCAAGGCCTGAAGCACCACAGAGGAAGAATCAGTGGATTCATGAGGGTTGCAGTTAGGGTAGGGGCAGCTATTTGGTAATGAGCTCTTCTAGTCAGGTACCATACTTTATTTCTTTCTGTTTTTTTTTTTTTTTTGTCTTTTGTCTTTTTCCGTGTCCGGCAACGGATTGCAACCCTCGAACCCTCGGGCGGGAGCGCCGCCGCGCTTCCCAAGCGGTGCACTTATCCAGTGCGCCACCGGGCCGGCCCCTCTTTCTGTGTTTTTTTGCCCTACTAAATTATTTGGTAAATAATAAACATGTACTTAAATATTAAATAATCCAATTTTTAAAGTGGACCTTTGGATGAATGTACGTTATTTAAATTCTAAAACTGTACAGTGTTGTCCAGGGGAGTCCTGGTTAAATCCCCCCAGTATTTGGCGGAGGGCAGCTGGCCAGTACAGGGATCTGAACCCTTGTTCTTTGTGTTATCAACACCACACTCTAACCAACTGTGCTAACCAGCCAGCCCTCCCCCAATATTTTTTAATGACGAGAAGCAATTTCTCTTTCTGCACTTCAATGGCTCTTAAATAAGTAGTGATGTAATTACTTCCACGAAAGTTTCACTAAAGGTGTGTTGACATTTTCATTCTTTAGAGTAGCAGTGAGTTTATCATTTTTGACATTTCAAGTTGTTATAAAGAAGACATTTCTACAGCCTTCAGATAGTTAAATGTTATAGTAACTCAGATGACTATATATAATACTGCCCATCAGTTTTGTATTTTCATTTCTTAATAGGGGAATAGCTATAGTGATTGGCTTTTTGTTTCCTAGAGGCAAGGTCAATGTTAGGAACATTGTGGAATTCTCCCTTGGCATTACTGTGGTAAGTAGACAGCTATTTATGAGGGACTTCCAGTTTGTTGAAAAAATGAGACATCCTGCTTGGCTTGTACCATAAAAACACAGATGCTTCTAGATTCCAGTAGGGAGGCCTTTCGTTCACAGCATCTGTTTTAGTTGACCAGCCAGATGACTTCTACAGATTTTTTCACTTTTTTGAAGGACACTTGACAAGTAAATAAGTTTACAAATGAAAAAATTAATTTAGCACTTTATAAATCTTTTTATTACTTTGGCTGTATCAGTTATGTGTAATTTGGAACTATTAGGTCATTTTATCTAACTTGTATCACTTCCTAAACTTGAAATGATTACTCCTCTGTGTACGTGTTCTTTGGATTGTTTATTCTGATTTGCGTTGCTCTATAAGTTTATGTATTCAGCAAATGTATAATGAGTACTCACTGTGTGCCAGCCCCTGTACTAGCCCTGGAAACTGTAGATGTGAGCAAGATATAGTGTCATTCCTTGAGAAGCTTATTGTCTCATGTGCTATACAAACATGTAGAGAGACAATAAAAATATAGCTGGGTGCTTCCATTTAAAGTTTATTTTATCAGTTTAGTCAGGGAAGGGCAGGTGTCTAGGATGGCCTCCTAGAGAAACTAATGTCCAAACTGAGAATTGTAGAAAGATTAGGAGTTGGCCAAGCAGAGGTCATGGAGCTTGAGGGGAGAGAATATAAAAGGAAGAAGCTTGCAGTGAAAGAGACCTTGGGAAGGTGAGAATCTAAAAAAGTTTGGTACAATTTCGTCAGATGGCTGGTCAAGCTGTGACCTTGGGCAAAATGCTGTCTCATTCGGAAAGCAGACTTGTGACCTAGACTTTATCCCACCTCCTAAATTAGTGATTTCTAAACATTTCATCGTGAATCCCAAAAGTAAAAAATGTTTTACGTACCTCCCAGTAGAAACCATAAGATTTATAAATGCTATACTAGTAGTTTATATACATAGTATAACATACGTAAAAGAAATAAAAGGATGAGCTAACAATGAAATATTCTCAAAATAATTTTATCTTGTTTATTAATAATACAGAAAATGAAAAGTGTTGCATCATTATTCTTTAAAACCTTGGCTTAATGTTTTGGGATATAACCATTCAGAGGGCTGTTTTGAAATTCAGTTTATTTTCATACTTGATTTTAATGGAAGTCAAACGCTGGATCAAAATGTGGGAATTTGGCTGCACTTTTGAAATCATGGTATTCCTTTTTCCCCAAAACTTAATCACCATTTATGGAAACATTTTGTTAAAATGTGGCTGGTAAATTCTTATCTATTAGTTTTTCTTGCAGATTAATCAAAATGTATTGTACTTTTATAGTGCTAATAAATGGGCTGAAAAATCACTGAAAATCTTTATTTGGATGGGTTTTTTTTAAGTTAGAATATTTTAGGTAATATATATTGTTTTCAATGGCAGAATTACTTAGGGATGGAAAAGTTTCCAAATACTCAATTCTGAAGTGCTCACTTTGCTAGACAAGGTATTTTTTTCTGTCCTTTTTTCTTTGTTTTAGGGATGGAAAAGTTTCCAAATACTCAATTCTGAAGTGCTCACTTTGCTAGACAAGGTATTTTTTTCTGTCCTTTTTTCTTTGTTCCGGAAAAGTTGAAAAAGTTTTTAACATGCTTTTAAAACATTTTTATTTTATAGTGGCATTTTTTTTTTTTAATATCTTCTTGATAGCATACTACCTACAACCCCTTTAGAAATATTTAGCGGAAAAGTTGAAAAAGTTTTTAACATGCTTTTAAAACATTTTTATTTTATAGTGGCATTTTTTTTTTTTTTAATATCTTCTTGATAGCATACTACCTACAACCCCTTTAGAAATATTTAGCAAGTTTGGAACTCTAATCTTTTTTACAAAAGAATTGTGTAACTGATCTATGTTTCACAAATCTTTTAAGTACTTGCATTTTGATAATCAGTGAATCCCCGTGTGGTTTTTAAAAAAAGATTTTGGTGACTACTTCCTATCTCTTTACAGAGTATAGGAAAGATTCTGTATAGTAAAGCTCTTGTTTTGATAAAATTAACCTCAGTGTGATCCTGAGACACTTTGTGCACCCCTTTGGTTCTGACTTATTTGCAGCAATAGTTTACCTGTGAATGAAGCAGGAAATGACTTACATAAAGTGCTGTCTTTGTAACTTTATTCTGAAATTCTTTTTTTTAATTCCTATAAAAGCAGTCATTCAATCAGTGGTTACAATTTTCCCATAAAGCTCATTTTTTCATTTACAGTACATTGCTCCTTAGTATCTCACAAAATTGTAGTTTTTGGTGTATTTCATAATTATCCAGCAAATACCCTATGATGAAAGAAACATCTGTATTTTGATCTAATTGTATAGCACACCTCACACACTGTCAATTGTCCTGATACTTCAACTCTTTAGGGTTTTCTAAGAGCTTCTTGACTGTATTTACCAATAATAGAATACATTTAGTTTGTCACCATTTTATTTTCCATGTATCATTTCAGCCTTATTTAGGATGGTCTCTGGCTTCTTTTCTCTTAGGTAAACCTTAGAAGATTCTGCACTTACTAACTTTAATACAATTTTGTGAAATGCTAGATTAAATAGCCTGTGACTTTAAACGTAGGTGGAAAAATTAGAGAATAAAATTAGAGAATAAAAATTATTCTCTTGCTGTGAATACTTAAAGGCCTGGCAGATTATGAAGACTTTCTAAGTGCTATTAGGTTTTATCTTAAGGCAAAATATACACTCAGGGTGAGGTTCATCTTTAATAAAAATTTGTGTAAAATAGAAGTTCTAATATTTTCTACATACATACCAAAGGATTATTTTACAAACCCTACAGGTGCACATATCCCTCTTTAGAGACTAGTGTTCTAAACAGCTGTGATACTGACATTGAAAGTAGCCTTTTAGTTAAAAGCAAAGCAAAAAGTAATTCATTTTGCTCTATAAGTTTGTATTTGGGAGACAGATTTAAGAATAATCAGCTTTGGCTTGAGGTTTAAAGAATGAGCACTTTAATTATAAACAGACTATGACTGTGAGTGTTATAGCTCACTAGGAAACCCTAGAGAATAATAGAAGGGTTATTGGTTAAATACTTTATATGAAGAAATGTTTTTCTAGTAACTGTTGACCAAAAAGGCTGCTAATTGCTGTTTTTGTTTTGTTTTTTAATAAACCCTGTAATTATTTTTGTTGATAGATATTTCGGAAATGGTTTTTCTCAATCTATAGGAGATATGGTTCATGGCCACTTGGGATCTCTTATAAAATGATACTTTTCATCATACATTTTATCAAATTTATTGAATTTACTTCGATGCATTTTTATCATCCAGATTCTTTTCTTTGGGAGAGCTGGAAAACCAATTCAAATAAGCTTGAGCAAAAGAGAATTTACTGGCTTATAACCAATGTTCAGGGCTGGTTTCAAAGACTAATTGGTTGTGAGGTCTGTGTTTCCAGGTATCTGTTAGTTTGTCTGTTGTCTCAGTCACCTTTGCTTTCTCTGTGACAGTTGTACTGTCTTTTAGAGTGGACAGCTCTTCCTCCATGTGGTGGTGTGGCAAGGAAGAGTGCCTTTTTTCTAGCACCCTTATATATAAAATCCTGTGGGTGGGATAGGAATATATGTGGTTGCATTTGTGCTGTGACTGACAGTCTCACAAAACACGTGAAATAGGTAAGGAACAATTTCTCAAAGAAAGGGTGTTTTGCTTTTTACCCCAGAGGAGGAGATGCTGGGAGTCAAAACAGTAGATGTTTATTACAGCATTTGTAGTGATGAAGAATAGACAAGGAGGCATAAAATATTCTTTAAGGTAGTAAAACATGACTTAATTTTATTTACCTAACCATTGGTTCTCATAGACTATGCAAGCTGCAAGATGTCCTACAGATGAACTATCTTTAACCAACTGTGCAGTTGTGAATGAAAAGGATTTCCAGTCTGGCCAGTGAGTATCTGACTTTCTTTCCTTTTAATCTGCTAAGTGATATTTTAGAAACTTCTAGAAAGACATTTTTTAGGGAACTTTTGAGAATTTTTTTTATTCCTCTTCCTGAGTTGGAAAATGGAGGAGATGAGAAAGAGTTTCAGTCATTACTGTGTTAAACTTTGATAAATATGTTTTTAAAATCATACGTAGCTTCTCATGTATAACTTTATTTTTTATTGATTTTCTTAACAGAGCCAAACATACTGGTTATAGTAATTGTATATAGCATAGCTGCTAGGTGTTTGGCTATAGAATCATATTGTCTGAGTTTGTATTCTGGCTCTGCTGGTTACAAACTGGGTGACCATGGATAAGTTATTTACCATCTCTGTGCCTCTGTGTCCTGATCTGTAAAATGGGGATAATGATAATATCTTCCTTTGGGTAGTTGTGAAGATTATGTAAGTTACACAAATAAAGCACTTAGAACAGTGCCTAGCATGTTAATTAACCCTCAATAAATATTAGCTATTATGATCATTATTACTATGATAATCTAAAAGACATGAAAGTTGGAAGATACACAACAAATGTAGAATCTTTAAAAGCACTTTTCATTGTAATTAATTTTAACTGATTCACATCACCCACTGACAACTTCTAAAAAACATGCTACCAAGTTCAGTGTCATCCATATGCTTCTGAGGTTGGTAGAGATAAGGAGATGAATGGTCTATACCAGAAGGCAGTCTAGGGAAATAAGAAACAAGGAGGCAATATTTTAACTGGGCTGTTTTTTTTTTTAAGCTCTCTGTGAAATATATCAGTTGTGCCAAGTTAGAATTGCTAGTCATCTGTGGTTTTCAGCATCCCAGTAAGAGGCTGTGCTATATGATTGTATTAGCATTGTTTCCAGTGCTAAACATTCTATAATGCTCAATTGAACACAGGACTTTCAACAAATAAACTGAAGTATAGATAATCAACAGGAGAATTTGTGGAATTCTCTTATATATGTTGAATGTTCACTGCACTCATGATGGGGTTACTTAAAATATACTAGATGTAAGGAACTTGTATCCAGTGGCAAAGTGATATTTATAGAAATATTAACCATTAACATTAAAAATTATAGCATTCTAAAAAATAATTTGAATGAAGATAGTGCTGTTGCACAACAGAGTTTGAAGCCTCTATTACATGCAGTCCTTGTTAATTTCTTGGTGTAGGAGATTATCATGAGATGACTATATTTTATTTATTTATGGGTAACTTCTGAGCAGGGAATTAGCACAAAATTCTTTGAAATAGTAAATATTGATATCTACATGAAAGCTGATGCATTTTGGGAAGTTTTTAATTTTTACCATCTTTTTTTTTATAGGTTGTTATTGTTTCAGCCTGTTGAGAAAGTCTGCAAAGAGACTTAATGAATAGTTCTAAAAACTAACTTGTTTTTTAAGACCGCTATATCCTAGCTTATCTATATTTGGTTCTCCTTTTAATAGGATGTAAAATAATTCTCAGGATAGGAAATTTATCTAGTTTTACTTAATATCAAGGACTTTAATCACTGACTGGTTATATGTAAATTGGAAATGTAATAAAATTAATATTTTGTATGGTATGTATTCTATTGAACTTGGCTGAATTCTACTTGATGTGTGTTTGGCCCAAGGTGCTCCTTATGTCTAGAAAACATTTTGAATTGCTAACAGCTTTTTGAAACTAAATTTGTGGTTCTTTTCCTTCAGGACTCATATGATACCATATTTCTACCTGATACTCATCAGTGTGGGAAGACATACATTTAGAAATTAACGTTCTTCGTTTCCTTTGATACGGAGTACTGACTGTGTTTCTATCTTTTAGGCATGTGATAGTGAGGACCTCACCCAATCACAGGTACACATTTACACTTAGGACCCATCCATCAGTGGTTCCAGGGAGCATTGCATTCAGCTTACCTCAGGTAACTCAGATGTTAATTTATTCTCTTCTCTTCTTAAAAGTGTAGAAGAATCAATTCATTTTAAGCAAGTGTCACCCTACAACTGTATTGATTTATTTTGAAGAAAAACATCTAGGTATTATATAAGGTCCACCCTAATTCAGTATGACCTTAACTTGATTGCAACTGCAAAGACCCTATTTCTAAATACGGTCACATTCACAGGTACCAGGAGCTAAGACTTCAACATATTTTGGGAGAGGGGACACAGATTAATATGAAACAGCATACCATGTTTTGGTCTTTTAATGTCTTCCTGATACTCATAGAAATTCCTTTTTTCCACATTTTTCTAATTTTGATAGATTTGGTTTCAAGTGTCTTTTTTTCCTTTTAATTTACAGCGAAAATGGGCTGGACTTTCTATTGGACAAGAAATAGAAGGTAGGTAAATGTTTTCACCAAATGAGGTAGACTTTCTATATGATTTTCTCACAGTTATTGAAATCTGTACAATTTTCTGTTACTAATGGCCAGGCCTTACACATTCATTCTATTCAGAGTATGGTTAATTCTATGAGAACTGAAAGGAAATAGTTATAGTACCTATGTCCCTACCTCTTTTCTCAATGAAGTGACTATCAGGTCATTATAGTTCAGTAGGGAAGGGCAAGGAAAGCAATTTATGAGTTAGGGGGGAAAAAAGACTAAGCTGCTTATGGATAATAACCCAAGGAGCTAATAAGCAAAACCTGGCATTGTCTCAGGTAGTATGGCAAAGTTGGGAAAATGGAGTATGAATCTTCTTTAGTCAGATAGTTTATGTCAACTTCATGGATACGGTAGGGGAAAGAAAGAAAATGCAAGTGTAATTAAGCCATATTTCGCTCTGCTTACTTTTAAAACTTTAAAAAACATTCATTTTTTTGTTTTTAATTTTTATTTTGTTGATATACAATGTGGTTGATTATTATGGCCCATCACCGAAACCTCCCTCCCTCCTCCCTCTTCCCCCTCCCACCCAACAATGTCCTTTCTGTTTGCTTGTTGTAACAACTTCAAAGGATTGTAGTTGTTATATCTTCTTCCCCCCCCCAACCTGGTTATTTTTTGTGTGTGAGTGAATTTATTTATTTATTTATTTTTGGCTTTTTGGTGGCAGGGAGGTACAGGAATCTGAACCCCATTTTCATTTCTGGCTCGGATGATTTCTCTCAACAGTGGTTTGTAGTTCTCATTATAGAGATTTTTCACATCCTTGGTTAACTCAATTCCTAAGTATTTTATTTTTTTGGTGGCTATTGTAAATGGGCAGGCTTTCTTGATTTCTCTTTCTGCATGTTCACTATTGGAGAATAGAAATGCTACTGATTTTTGTGTGTTGATTTTGTATCCTGCTACTGTGCTGAAATCATTTATCAACTCCAAGAGGTTTTTTGTAGAGGCTTTAGGCTGTTCGATATATAGGATCATGTCATCTACAAATAGGGACAGTTTGACTTCATCTTTTCCAATCTGGATGCCCTTTATTTCCTTCTCTTCTCTGATTGCTCTGGCTAGTACTTCCAACACTATGTTGAATAGAAGTGGTGAGATTGGGCATCCTTGTCTGGTTCCTGTTCTTAAAGGAG